CTCCTATTCGTCCAGAAACAGCGTCGACGTTCTTACCTCTCCGTTCAACGAAACAATTCAACTTTCAACCGTCTCGTTTGTTGTTTCGAACCTGGCCACCGAAAAGAAACGCGAACCCCTGCTTCTATGCTCGCGTACGATATCGTTCCTCTCTGCGCCACCCGATCAAAGTAATAGCAGCGTCCGTTGCAGGTTCGCATGCTTATGTTTGACGCTTGCGTTGTTTGAATTCGGTGAACTATCCGGCACCGAGACGCACTCGAAAAGAAGGTTGCGGGCCCCGGTTTGCACGGAGCGACGCGAGTGTATTTACTGCCGATAACAGGCCGAGAGACGAGAGACGAGAGACGAGAGACCACGAAACCAGATACGGCAACACGAAACTGGATGGCTGTTACTCGCCGTACGCGACGGTCCCATCAACGAAGACGACTATTATCTACTTACTGATCGTCGCTTGGCAAACACCGACTCTCTGTATCGTGTGGTTCGTTTACGGCCTCTTTTCTCTTGCACTACGGACCCAGATAATACCTAGCTCAGATCCGATAAAGTCAGATCCGAGATAACTGCCACGAATGTTCGGAACGTGCCCCTTTAATCGGCCGACAGATCGAAATCGGCCAGATCGATTCACTAGATAAGAGGGGATCAACTTTTCATTCGAGACTCGGTACTTTTAATATCTAGAAATGCATGCATCTCAACGGTTTGCTCGAACGAAACTGTCGAGGACATTGCGTTACCAAGTCGATCTTATCTATCGCCACGAGACGAAATTCTTTAAACGATCGACCCGAACTTGCCAAATATCTAATCGGAGTAGGAGCTTCAGCTTATCAAGGACGCGACCATTTAAACAACCAATCTAGACGGAATCTGATACGAAGCCACGATAAGCGTCGCGTAAACATGACTTTTATTGCACCGTTGATATATTTCCTAAGAAAAAGTACACGCGTGTATAGCGTTTCGCATAGTAAACAATGAACATGATCATCTTCCACACAGTTGAAATTCAAGTAAAATGACACGGCAACATTCGTTACACCCAATTGAATTGAAATAATATTTTACCTTGTGGCATCATCGGCATACCAGGTTGCGGCATCGGAAATGCACCGGGCACCGGTGCCTGTGAAATCGGTTGCACGGGCGAGTACATGGGCGGCGGCGGTGGCTGCATAGCGGGATACAGTTTTCACTTGAATTAAAAAAACATTTATATTTGACCTCGAGTCAATGCGAAATCTAAATGTAAGTTTACCCCCCGATATCATCGCGTACAAAGCGACAAGAAAAAGGAACAAACTCGACGTTACATTTAAACATCTTACTCGAGACGAGATCGTCCCGCCAAAATAGTTGCTCGTCCCAAGGGAAGCCTCTTGGATCGTGATTCGAAAAGCCAACAATATTATTCTATACAGAACGTAATGTAACGTTTCTCTTGATTCTCTTGTTTCTCTTGTCTCTCTTACGTATCGCATCGATATTTAGGTTATGTTTAGAAAATCGCTCGATCGGTAAGCGCAGTGTGCGCAGGTAGCATCCTTACGAACGGAGCAGAGTTGCGATGGATATTTAGTTACGAGAACGATCGCATGGTGACACGAAATTCTAATCACAGCAGCGTTCGTGTTATTGTAATAGTCGGGTCATTGTCCCCTCGTAAAGGTCGTTGTAACTTTACGCGAGGATACAAACTATAGCCGATAACTCTGCATTTTTACATTGATAAGAAAATCCTTTGTCTCCCTCGCGAAACACGCCTATGATCGATTACTCGCGCTAAATTCCCCACCTAATTTCATTCGAATGCAAACCCTAATGTCGTCCGTTCGAAAGATCGACAATTGGGCAAGATCGCGTTAAAATTTTGGACCTGCGGTATTCCGTTTAATCTCGCGATAGAATATTACTTTGTCGGTTTATTTACTCCTCCGATGCTGTCGTACGTTTACTCGCAGAGGTACTATTTGGGTCGGCCGCGATCGATTAATCGGTAATCTCGATATCTGGCTTCGTAACTGCCGCCCCCGTGTTTCTATGAACGTGTAACATTTTCCGAGCACCGTCGTCGTGGACCGTTGAATACCGCGAACTCGCGAACACGCGAGGCAAGCGAATCGATGAGAATCAACGATTACAGAGGTTAGAATCGTTGGCGTGGAAAAATTGATCGCGCATCGGGAATAGGCAAGGCTAGAATGACACCTTAAACTAGATTCCTCCTGATCTGTATGCACTACTTTTTAACAGCCTTGAATTAGATTTCATGGACCCTAATCGACAGTTTCCTCGTTTATTGTGTACAACCTCGATAACTTTTCGTGCGATTCTTTTTCCGACACGCCATCGATCACGCACTGATTACTCTTCGCACGGTGAACGAGAACGACCAGGAGTTTGGATAATCAGCGCGTAGGTGCATCTGTTTGATCGATCGGCGAGAAATCCTCCGATCGGAGACACCGAAAATCTTTGATAAGCTGACCGCAGCTACCGCTGCTCGATTCATTCGGATGCGTGTGCGTGCGTGTACACGGTGACGGCGGATTCAGCACCGTCCACAACGCGAATCGGTTCGTTTGCATACTCTCCGGTTAGATGCATGCATGTATAGTCGTAACACCATTGATCATCGAGATACCAAATGGACTCGGGGTGTGCGCGTATGCGTCCAAATGAACCGGTAAACGCGACTCATTGATTCGGGTAAAACGATTCGCGTCATGTTCGTTTTGAAACGACGAAGCTGTAAACATTCGTTACGGGTTTCGCCGTCTTCTCGGTGGCCCGTTTCGACTCGTCCGTTGCACTGACTAATTACCGGCAATTCGTCACCGAATACTATGTAAAGTGATGCATTGTTCAGTTATGTACACTTTCATCGGATGATGTCATCGCGTCTCACATGTGTCTGCGTCGCATACCACAAGGTCGTCAGCGAGAGCTAAAATCACATATTCCTACGCGACGCGATCGACAGGGATCACCGGGATGTTAAAACCGCAAGATAAGGCGGTCAACGTTTCCTTCCGGTTTCTCCGAAAACAGTGTCGTACTTACACAGCACGAAGCTCTCGGCTGCTTTTCGTTACTTTTGCCTTCTTCTCCTTTTCCTCTTCTTTCTCCTCCTTTTCCGAACGCGATACAGAAGGATGACTGGGAATTGAAGGGGGACGGAGGGGGCAGTGTGCGCTCAATCAAATTTCCTACTACGCGCGACCACCCTAATTTTTCTTTTCCAATCGATTTTAGGATTTCGCGATTTACGCGGTGTTCTCATGTGACGAGCGATAGACGCGCATCATCCGGACGATCGTGTCAGTTTTGTGCAATGCTCGACGATGACTCAATTTCTCTATTACGAAAACCCGTCGG